TCAGTGGGAGAACTAGAGAAATTATAGTGTGGAGGCAGTAGCCAAAGCCTCAGCTGATATTTTTTTTTCAGGCAATGCCTGATTATCATATAGAAAAAACCTGGGGGTAGTTTTTACTCCAGGTAACTATGCCAAAGGTCATGTTCCAAATAAGGTCAGGCATCCGTGCTTGGTGGCACTTTCCAGGTAAGCCAGGAAGAGAGCAGGAGGCCCCCTGCTGAAAAGGGGAGTCCTTCCATTTGGCGCCGAGCCCCTCAGTGCTATCCGGACATGGAGAACTACAACCCTAACAGCAGGGTTTCCCAACATGCAATCATTTTGTTAACTGTTTCCATTCTTTGTCTAATTTTGTGTTTCCACATTTATACCTTCATTTAGTTTCTTTCTGTTGCCCCTGGGGCATAGTTGTTCCTTTCTCAGTTCTTGTATTGCTTCAAGTGTTTGAAGGGCAGGTTTTGTGGACATGTATTCTTTCAGCCTATCTGTGTCATGGAAGATTTTTTTCTTTTCCCTTTAACTATAATAGACATTTTTGCTAGGTAAAGCATTCTGGGTTGGCATCTGTGGTCATTTAGAACTCGAAATACCTTGATCCAGACTCTTCTGTCTTTCATACATTGATAAGTCAGTTGTAATCTGAAGGATTTTCCTTGGTATGTGTGTTTTCTTTTGCAGCTTTCAGTATTCGCTCTTCTGTATATTTAATGTTTTTACTGTTATATGCCATGAGGAGTTTCTTTTCTGATCCTGTCTATATGGTGTTCTATGTGCTTCTTGTATTTGTATGGGGATGTCTTTCCTTAATTTTGGGAAGTTCTCGTCTACAATCCTGTTTAAGATCTGGTCAGTACCGTTCACCTGAAATTCTTCTCCTTCCTCCTGCCTGTGATATGTAGATTTGGTCTTTTCATGGCGTCCCGCATCTCCTTCATATTCCATTCCTGTGGTTTTACAATTTTCCGTAATCTGCTTGAAGGGTCCAGTTCTTCAACTTTACCCTCCAGTGTTGCTGTTCTGTTTTCCATTCCATTCATTGTAGCGGCGACGCCGTCTCCTGTTGCTTCAGGTTGACTTACTGCGTTGTTCACTTCATTTCAGCTGCGTTTTCTTCAGTGCTTCTGTCTCCTTGAATTTAGTCAAAAGTTTATCCCTGTGTTTTGGTTCTTTGGTTTGTTTTTGTGTGTTCTTTAAATTCGTTGAATTCCTTGATCATGTTTATGATTGTTCTTTTAAATTCTGTGTCCTGGATTATCTCTTGGGAGTTCTCCTTGTAGGACTCTTCTACAGGACTGCTGGAGTTTGGTGGGAACATGCTGGTTTGGTTTTCCTTATTATTATTTTCTCATTGTGATTTTGGCATATGGATTTCTTTTGTTTGTGATTCTGGTATGAAACTCAAGCCTTCCTTTGTTGAGCTGACATCTGTTTCTTTTGTATTATTGGTATGCCTTGGTTGTTTTCTTATTGGGTATGTAAAGGTCTAGGTTTCAGGTTCTCTCAGGTTTTATTTTGGAGGGAACTGCTGGCTTCAGATCAGCTACTCAGGAGCACCCACAAAGCAGCCAGGCTCCAGTCAGGTACACTCAGGCTTCCTTCTAATGTTTGGACCCCTACTAGTGGGTACTCAGAGCACAATTTGGGAAGTTCCCTGAGGGGCGGCCTGATTTTGGCACTCTCAGGCAGTGTGCTCAGTTCTCAGCCCGTACACCAGAGGCCAGATCAGGTATGCTCTCTATCAATTCTCTGTTTGTTTGTTTTGTCTTTTTGAAACAGAGTCTCCTTATAGCCCCAGCTGTCCTGGAACTCACTATGTAGACCAGGCTGGCCTCGAACTCACAGAGATCTGCCTGCCTCTGCCTCCGAAGTGCTGGGATTAAAGGCGTGCGCCACCACAACCCGGCACTATCAATTCTTTTAATGTGTCCTTAATTCTTTTCTTCTTAATCTTTTATTATTTGTTAGTTTTAAATCATGCTGGCTTTCAGTGCTTCTATAGTAATCACTTCTTGTATTTCTGCCTTTACTCTGTTATAAGCCGCATTTTTCTACTTTGTCAGAGAATCAGGTTTTATAGTCTTCAGTTCATGGACTTACCCTTGTTTAGTTTTGGGGGAATCGGGGAATGTCCGTGTTTTTAATTTTTTAAGTTAGACTATAGAATCGTGGATTTTATATGATCTTTACATTTGAGTGTGTGAAATGTTCACTGTCGTTTGTGAAGAAGCTTACCTGTCTTTGCTAGGAGCAGTTTTTTGTAGATTTCTGAGAATAGGCACATGGGTACCATAGTCCTTGTGTCCTACATGTTCAGAAGTTCTTCTGTGGCTTCAATTTTTTTAACAGGTAGCTTAAGTATACTTTTTGACCTTCAGTTTTCCCTTGTTTCCTGAACATACTTCTATACTATGCCTTATTTGTGTGTCTGAAAAAAAAATCTATTGCCAATGTAGCTATTCAGCACATACATTTTAGTCAAAACATTCCCTTTATTCTTATGTGCAAAATGGCTTACATGGTTGGTTATATAATTAACCACAGATTTTTTTAACCAAAATATTAATTGGCATCGTTTAAATAAATTAGGTTTTAGACATGAATTCCTATGAAATGCAGAGGAGGATGAGCCACCTGTGCAGTGGTCTTCTCCACTCTAGAGGGTACTGACTATAGGTGGCTAGGGAACAGGAATGTATTTTGTGCTTTTTTAAAAAAATAACAAAAAACAAAACTCTACCCTTATCTTTTCTTAAAAAGACAAACGTGAATTAACCCCGCTGCTTACTTGAATTATAAAAGTATCATGATTCAGTATGAAAATAAGCAACTGGTTATAAATCTGACAATAATAAATTACAATATATAATACATACAGGCATCATACAGAGCAACAAACTTGGACAAAGGAAGAATAATTATCATACTCTAAGATCTAATTTTTTTCTTTAAAACCATTCATGAAAAAGATTTTCAAGAGTCCAGGTGAACACTAAAATTAGTTCAGCATCGAGAAGCTACATTGTAGCTAGGTCTGTACAAAGAGGCACATTCTCACCAGCCATTTCCTTCAGTGCCTCTGTTCCAGATCCCAGACCGTAGACTCCAGATTCTACATTTCCTGTTCTGCAAGTCATGAAAACCAAATGTGTTGAATACCAGAAATCTGTTGCTAGAGCATTGTGAAAACTAAATTCTTTTTTTGCCGTTTTCATTTATCTGGTTTATTTGAGTTAGGGTATTAGCTCACACTGGCCTCAAATTCAATATACAATTAAGGATGATCATCCTGCCTCTACCTCCCAAATGCTGAGATTATAGGAGTGTGTCAACATGTCCGGTGTGTGATGCTGGGGATTGTGCCCAGGACTTTGTGTGTACTACTAGGCAAGCATCCTCTACATCCCCAGCCCAAAGCAGGAACATTTTGTTTTCGACCATCTGCAGTTATGAAGCTAGCTGATGACTGGTTAGTTATGCCTCCTCCATTAAGTTCACTTAGTCCCTCTATAGATGAGGCTCCTCTACCAAGTTCCTTCTTTCCCTTTTAGCCTCTCTGAATTTCTAAAGGTAGTTTGAAAAAAGGCTAAATAAAGTGGACATGGCAGATAAAACAGCTGCTTCATTGACTTCTCCCATTTTCCTGATGGCGTATTTTGCGTGTTTGGGGTTTTAGAAAGTTTATGGACTCATATTTGTGAACACATTTCATTCAACTATTTTGTGGTCTTTCCTTTTTGAGGTATGACATTTTTCACTATACTAGCTGCATTTACAATTTCAAGATGTTTTCTGTTTTTCAGACAGTCTCACTGTTCAGAACTTTGTTTTAAACATCTGTGTTTTCATCATCACTTACGCTGTTTCAGTATCCATCATGGAGCTGGATAAAATAGAGGCTTCCTCTAGTGTAGTCTTAAATAGTCCGAGAGAATATCTCTTCTACAGTTGTCGCTATCCATTGTCATGGCATGCTGTTAGAGCCATCATTTGTGGTGCTCATAAGTACCTGTCTAAAAAGGTGTCAGGTGCCTGCCCAATTTCAATCCCGAGTGCAGCCCTGGTTGGTTCCATCTTTTGTTGGCTGTTTACTTGGACCAGAAATGGTTGGAAGGAACCAATCCCTGCACGGGGCTTCAGGACTTGGCTTCCCTCCCTCTGCACCTGAACTCCTTTCAGTCCTTGGTTTATTCTGACTTTACCCATTCTTATAATTTTCTTCTTTCTTGTTTCTTCCCTTGTTTCTGTCCTTTAAATTATGCTGAACATTCATGGATCCCCAGCTTCCAAAATAGTAATAGCACAAAACAGGTTCACAAACATTTGCTGGATGTATAAACATACACAAAGGATAATGGATTGTTGAACCAGGGGTGATGGCACCCCTTTAATCCCAGTGGTCAGGAAGCAGAGGCAGAGGCAGGCCTTGCTTAACTTGTTCGTTTTGGTTTTGTGTCCTTTGTGTAACTACAGCTTAACTAAGGATTGAAGTAAAGTAGTAGGTATGACTGAAAAGGCAAATAAGGCTAACAGGCTTTTTTTTTTTTTTTAATTTTATGCCTATGAGTGTATTGCCTGCATGCAAGTGAGTGCACCTGTGTCATGCAATGCCACAGAGGTCAGAAGAGGGCTTCTGATTCCCCTGGAACTGGGGTTTAAGGATGGTTTGTAGTTGCCATCTGGGTGCTGGGAATTGAACCCAGGTCTTCTGCAAGAGCAGTCAGTGCTCTTAACCGCTGAGCCATCTCTCCAGCCCCATGGTTAACAAGTTTTAAACCCACTTTATGAGCAGTATGGTATTCTTTTCTTTATGATATAAATATATAAATTATGTCATTCTTTTAACTATTTGGGAGAAATAGGAGGTCAAAGATGTAATCGATTTTTTTCTCCTCCCTCTTTCTGTTTTCCTCCGTTTGCCCCTCTTGCTTTCTCCCCTCCGTCCTTCACTTTTCTTTCCTCTCCATCCTGTGTGCGTTTCCCTGTCCCCCTTACCTTACTCACAGGATGCCCTTGCAGCCTTAGAAACTCCAAAAGCTGCCAGCCAGAAGGAAAGAAAACTGAGTTCACCACTCTCAGAAGTTATCGTCAAAAACTTGAAACTTGCTTTGGCAAATAGCTCTCGAAGTCTTGCCAGCCCCCAACTGAAGGGTTCCCAATCAGAAAAGGTAGATTTAGTTTTCTTACTAAATTAAAGTCTTCACTAAAGCATTTCAGAGAGTCATGGGGTCTCTTCCTTTGATTTTTCCATGTACAGGAGGAGGATCCAAAGCCACTTCACAAAGTTGTGGTATATGTGAGTAAAAAGCTCAGTAAGAAGCAGAATGAGCTAAATGGGATCGCAGCCTCGCTAGGAGCAGATTACAGGTAGCTACACAGCTAAGCTTTGTTGATGTTATCGCCTGAGCTTAGAAGGAAGCCTAAAGCTGTTGTGAGCATTTTCAAGGAAACACTGGCTTTGCCTGCTAGTGTGTTTTCTAATAAAATCTTTCTGATTTTAATTTTTATATTCTTTGAAAATACCTTCACATACAAAAATTCTTCTGTTTTTGAGACAGTCTCATGATGTAGCACTAGCTGGCATGAAACTCAATATCTAGATCAGGCTAGTCTTAAACTCACAGAGATCTGCCTGCCTCTGCCTCTACTTACTGATCACTGGGATTAAAGGGGTACCATCACCCCTGGCTCAACAATCCATTTTTCTTTGTGTATGTTTATACATCCAGCAAATGATTGTGAACCTGTTTTGTGTTATTACTATTTTAGAAGCTTGGGATCCATGAACAGCATAATTTATTTATTTTTATTTTATGTACATGAGTGTTATACCTGCATGTGGGTAAGTGCACCCGTGTTGTGCAGTGTCTCCAGAGGATGGAAGAGGCTCTCGGATCTCCTGGAACTGGAGTTACAGACAGCTGCCATGTGGGTGCTGGGATTCGAACGTGGGTCTTCTGCAAGAACAGCTAGTGTTCTTAACGCCTGAACCATCTCTCCAGCCCCCAATCAGCATAATTTAAAGGGCAGAAACAGAGTTTATGATGGGGAACAGAGAAAATAAAATTGAATAACAGAAAATAGAATTCAGAAAAGTATAAAGAATAGTATTTTAAAGGCTGTCCTTCCCAACATCTTTTTGCATTATAAAGCTAGAGTCATAGAATCTGTCAGGATGCAAAGCCTGGCGTTTCAGTGCTCTTGCTAACTCTGGTCTGCATGTTTCATGTGTGTCAGAATGTTGTGTTAAGAGTGAAGTGATCAGGGCTAGAGAGCTGGTTCAGTGGTTAAGAGCATAGACTGCTCTTACAGTGTATCCAGGTTCAATTCCCAGCACCCACATGGTGGCTAACAACCATCCGTAACTCTAACTCCAGTTCTAGGGGATCCAACTCTGCCTTCTGACCTCCATGGGCATTGCACAACACGGGTACACGTAGACACATGCAGGCAATACGGTCTAAAAAAAAAAAAAGAAAAAAGTGAAGTCAGCTGGTACTCGGGTGGCTGTTTCCCCTAGTTACTCTTTCCTTGTTATTGGGTTGTTTCAGGTGGAGTTTTGATGAGACAGTGACTCATTTTATCTATCAAGGTAGGCCAAATGATAGCAATCGAGAGTATAAGTCTGTGAAAGAAAAAGGAGTTCACATAGTTTCAGAGTATTGGCTTCTAGAGGTAAGCAGTGGGCTCCGGGTTCTTTTAAGTCCCTTCTCTATTAATTGAAATGTATACAAACAGTTCAGAGCACAAACTAATGTCAGCATATGTAAATAAATTTGATAACCTTAGTTAGCCATGTGACAACACATCTTGGCAAAAAACTGCCCCTTTGTGGCTGGGAATTGAAAGAGAGATGGCAGAAAGGATTGAGATCACACTGTTCTCTTCCAGGGCACATCCGCAAAGGGGTCTGTTGGGCATGCTGTAAACCGTGCCTCTCACCTGGGCCTTCGGAGGACTCCCAAGATCTGTACACATTTCATTTCTTTGGCATCAAAGCTTAAGATCTCTATTTCTTAAATGCTCACCAAATTTTTAGTGAATAATCTTATTCTGGTGTCCTTTTTCTCATTGAAAATTATATAGATGACTGGTGAGATGGTTCACTAGGTAAAAGTGCTTGCCACCAAGCCTGATGACCTGAGTTTGATCCACCAGTAGGAAAGAGAGCTAACTCTTACAGTTGTCCTCTGACCCCTACATGTGCCTGTGTATGTACACACAAATACAAAAACATTAAAGAAAGTCCTTTTAATGATATGAAAACAAAAGAAAAAAAGTATATAACAATTTGAGAAGAGTTCATTTAACATGCCAGTACATTTTATAGCTCTGTTTCTTTTTTTCCCTTGGTACTCCCTGGTGGATAATTGATACCTTGCTAAACACACAAGGATTGAATTAGAGTGTATACTGTAGTAGACATTACATTTAGAAAGTGAAGGCAGTTTGTTTTATATATGCATATATGTGTATTTAATGTATTTAATTAGTGTATTGGTGTGATGTGTGCGTGAGCTTGGGAGGGGAGTGAATGAGTATGTGTGGAGGTTAGAGGCCAACTTCATGGTTATCTCTTACTTACCTTGGTTCTAGGGATTGAACTCAAGTTGTCAGGCTTTCGTAGCCCAAGGCTGTTTACTTAAGTCATCTCACTGACCCCAATTTTTATTTATATGATAGACTTTTCACTTTAAACTATTTAGAGTACACATGTGTATTTCAGTGTGCCCAGGAATATAAGCATCTTCCTGAATCTCTTTATCCACACACTTACAATCCCAAAATGAGCCTGGACATCAGTGCTGTGCAAGATTGCCAACTCTGTAACACCTGGGCACCCTCAGCTGTTTCTGCGTCTAAGGACAGTGAGGTAGGTAGTGTAGACAGTGTGCCCCCTAAACTGCATGTAGAACCGTAGATCTCTGTGAAACTTTATGCAGCAACTTTTTATGAGGAATTACCATTTTTGTCTTTGAATAGCCAAATCATTTGCCTGTAGAAGAAAATGAAGTAGATAATATGACCACAGATAATCAAGAATCAGCACTATCCATTGAAAATGGAAGGAATGATTGTAATGGAGGTAAAACACTTGTTTATTTTTTAGAGCATTTGTTTCAACTTAAAACCCTAGCTGCATTTACCACCAACCAAAGAGCTGGCTTGGCCTTCAGCTTCAAAACCAGACACTGCCTTCTCTCCAGCTATGAAGGCCCTGGATGGAATCTTCTTCCAGTCTAAGCTGCTGTTCAGTGCAGTCACCTGCAGCAGCCAGCTGGGTCTCTGGATAACTTCCTGCAGCATTTTCATTTGCACTTGCTGCCTCACCTGTACTTGCATGTTGGGATAGCGGCTTCTTTCCTTAAACCTCATAAGCCAACTTCTCTTGAATTTGTACTTCTATTTCCCAACCTCTTAGCATTCATAGAATTGAAGAATTGGTCCTTGCTTTGGACTAGGCATTGACTTAAGTTTGGGGTTGACTTGATCTTCTGTCCAGACCACTAGTACTTTTCTTCATATCTGATAAAGCTGTGTGTTCTCTGGATTGTCACTTTTAATTTCCACCAAGTTTCCCTTTGTATTTACAATTTGGTTCTTTGGCATAAGAGGCCTGGCTTTTGATCTCACTTGGCTTTCAAGCATGCCTTCTTCACGAAGCTTAATCGTTTCTACTTTAATTTAGACCTAGAGGTGTATGGCTCTTCCTTTCACTTGGATATTTACAAGCTATTATAGGATATTAATT